GCAGGGTGGACTGCAGCTGTGGCCTGGGGCCAGGACTGTGCTGGACTCTTCCCGGCATGTGGGGGAGCAGGGGGTTGGGCCTGGCCTGCGCTCAGGGTGGGCAGCAGCAGTGCTGAGAGGAGAGCTAAAGTGAAATCTGGGGTGGCTGCAGGCCCCCCATAACCTCCTCCCAGCACCAACATGACCTAAGCACAGCCCCAGCCCAACCCCCCTCCCCCACCACGTACCAGGAAGAGCCCAGCGCAGCCCCAGCCCCAGCCTGCATCCCCTCCCCTCCCCTTCAACCACAACAGACTTACCAGCTGCACGCAGCTCTCCTAGCTATAGAGCCATGCTATGCTCCTCGCTGTCTATGTGCTGCACTGCAGCTGCGCACATGCACGGGCATTTATTGTCCAAATTATCGGCCATATCAGGCCATATCAGGCCAATTGGCTATTGGTATCAGCCCCCAAAATCTCTATTGGTGCACCCCTAATAATAAGTGTAAATTCAGTTCCATCTTCCAAAGCCATTAATGAAGATACTAAAGGGACTGGACCTAGAACAGCCCCTTCTGCATTTCATACTCCCCATATACAGCTGTAATGACTATGCAAGATACAGAGTACTAATGAATCAGACTGTTTGATTTGAAGTTGGGCCCAGTTGTGCAAGCTTTTGTATACATTTTCCAAACAAGAAGTAAAGTAACTGAATAGAAGCCAGTGAGGTTGCTTACATGCTCAGTGACTTTGTCACTTGCTACACCTCCCATTGGACTCTTAACACAAATTTTATCACTGTATATTCCTTTACGTACTTGGACCCATTCTCTTATATATGTAGTGGGTCAAATTCAGAAATGATGTATAAGAAGAGTGGAGGGCACAAACTCTACTTTGCTAAGTGGGTAAGGCTCTCAGAGTGTATTATTGCAGTATTATTCTATATTCAGTCCTGAAACTTAAAAATCTGCTTGTCTTCTAAGGCAATTCCTGCAATGTAAAAGTCATTAAAAACTCTTAATTCCTTTAAAAAATGAGATACCCTCATCCTGTATAGGAAGTAAAATTTTAAAGCAGCTGAGTTGGAGTTAATTACACTAACCTGGGTTTACTCCATCTTAGATAGCAAGGTTCTAAGTGTTCCCGGATGGTGCAAAGTGTTGATAGTGATCTTTCATGTTAAGGAAAATTATGCTCATCAATCTGACTTCCAACCAAGGTAGTCTATAGCCTCTTTACAATCTGATTTAAAGAAAAAAAATCCTTTTCATAATGGTAAGGGCAAGCCTGCTTCTAGTGGCAACTATGTTTGAATAACACTTGTTTCCAGCATGGTTCCAAACATAGTAAAGGTATGGCCAACAGGCTGGTGATTGATAGGAGAAGGTGGATTTATATGAAGATAGACTGGCAAATTGAAAGGGTAAAAAAGTACTGCTAAATACAGAATGATTTGTTTTTAAAGAAATCATTCTGAAAAATTCAAGAAAGAACAAAGCACATAAACAGAAAAAAAACTAAATACATAGATTACTTGGCATATTTTAATTCTCTTGTGTCTAAACCATAAAATGATTTAGCTTTAAAGTTCAATAAAAAATTGTATCATTGTAGAAACGATCTAAAATTAAGATAAATGCACTGAATTTAAGAAATGAGACAAAGATTTTAATAACACTATTTTAATGCTGCTGTTGAAGAACAGTTTAAAGTTTTATTCGTCTTCCTGCTAAGCCATAAATTGAAGATGTACTTCAGAAATCCTAGGAAAACTAAATCAGTCCTAACAAACAGGTTTCGGTAACACAAAGTGACATGTTTCAGTACATATTCATAAGGGTTGGGGGTTATTATTGGGCTGTAATTGCAGTTGTTCTAACACCTAATAAGCCATGGTTGGAAAAACAAAGGCAGGTTAATTTGTGATTTCCTCTACTCATTCAGAGGCAAATTAAGTGTCAAACAGCTAATACAGAACATATTTCATTTTATGAGATTTTAATTTAATTCTGTACCATATCGTTGATGCCTTAATGTAGGGTGGTTTATCTAAGAAGAGGAGCTATTTATAAACCTCTTTCAATTGGAATCTTTAATGATAGGATACGATAGCATAATTATAGCAGTGCCTCTTAGTCTTACTACACATAAGCATCTCTCGGCAATTCCATCATAAACATGCACCCCTTTTTTTAGGGGTGTATAACATGGAATATTTTTGGGATTTGCCTGTCATTCAAAAATGACATTATGGGGAGCCCAGGAGTTGACATATACTGACATTTGAAATTTCTGTATACTTTTCTTCTGACTGCATGATAACTAACTAATTCCAGCAAATCTTAAGCAGTTCTTAGGTTGTACATCTCAAAGATCTTTGCAAAGTTGAGTAAGCATCATTATCCTTATTTTGACAGGTGAGTAATATATGCAGCAGAGAATAAGGGAATCTCAGTAGACAAACAGTTTCCATAATTTCTGTCCTATGCCCTATCTCCTAAAAACTGAAATAATTTTATGTTAGCTTTTTTTATTTTTATTTTTTTTAATTTTTTTTTAGGTATTAGGACAGCTAACCAAGTAATGGTCCCAAAAGAGCAATTAATGTCAGCTAGACTAAAATCCAGTGTTCTTTAGTCTAGAGTTGCACCAGAAACCGTAACAGTTACAAGAGAGTGGTTGAAATATGTCATGCATACAGTTTAGTGTTTATTTTTGAAAATGATAAAAACATGACAAACCTTAACACCTACAAAGCTGCTGCTGGAATGTGACAGATTTTTTTAATTCCCTAATTACATATTTACATTTAATTACAAGGTCATAATGGCACCAAAGGTCTGTCCTAGTTTATTTCATACCTGTGCAAGAGTGGCAGAACCAAATGAATGGAAAACTCTAGTGAAGTTTGTGTAAAAATAAAGCAATAATATCAAGGGAATTTTAATTTTGAAGTTAAGGTTGACACTACAATATGTGCCTAAGACAACTGCCTGCAGCCACGTCACCACATGCTAAGATCTGTTGTCTCTTGCAATCGTATGTTGTCTCCTCAGATGAGAAACCTCTAGGGTGCAGCAGAAATGGTGGTGTTTGTGAGTTAATAAGCAGCACAGTTCTTTCTGAGACACTACTGATTCTACTGACCATGTGTAGTGTAAGAACGTGTATTATTACATTTCAGAGGAAACATGACACTGAAATCCTTACCTTTTTTTGGTTGCTTGAGGAACTTGTGGTACTTTAGTCAGTACAGGTGCACAAGCTCCAAGTCCTGATCCTATTTCAAAGTGGATAACTGCAGTCTCCCCACCCAAAATTTCCATTTACCCCATTTGATCCCCAGCAATGGTAAAACATCTCTGCAATCTGTCCAAGATCCTAATACACTTCAGCAACAGTTAACAGATTCTTCACAAGGACTGGCCCTGCAATCTTTTGTTCAAGCAAACAACTGAGCCAGAATTTGGGGTTCTTTGGAATGACTGGTAGTATTTAAATACAAAGTATTATTACATTGTGCTCACTTACACAACTATGCCCTTGAAAAAGCCAAAGTCAAAACTCCTACTCACTTCAAAAAAGGGGCAGGTTCATGCCCTAGGCCTCAAACCACACACTGATTTTACAAAATAACAGGAAGAGTCTAAAAATCTTTGGTCAGAATTTAGCTTCATGTGCACTGAGAAACCTAAAAGCAACAGAGTGAATGTGTATGATGCCTTCATCTTAATTTAAAAAGCCCTCATCTTTGCATGGGAGGTTTAAATCAAGATCTTTATTCAAATGTATTTTATTGTGCATTTGGCTCTGGTGTAAATACTTGCGGACAGCACAGTGAAAATCTGAGGAATAAATAACAAGTTTCTGTACTCTCTCTTTCTATAAATACCCACTTTTCCTCTAATGCCCATGGAAGACTGCAACACAGATTTATTACTTACCTCCAGGCAAATTTGCTCTGAAATTACAATTCAGTAATAGGAGACTGATCCAAAAAACTGTTAGTAAAATATTGTGTGTGTACTTGGGCATGTAGTTAGGATTGTTAATATCAATTAATTCTGCTCACAGAGGAGGACTTGTTTTAAAACAACTTCATTTTTCTTCTGCATATATGTAATTACACAGCTGTAACTAATAGCCATAGCAAAGCAATCTGCCATCTAAACAACTAGCATTATTCTTCAAAGTATTACTTGTGCTTTTCTTCTTGTATTTTCTTGGTATGAGAGGTGATTATTAGATATGATTAAATATATATATCAAGCCTTTTAGCAAAGAAGTAAGCCCTTCTTATAGCTCCATTTTTTATGGTATGTGGCAGTTTTCTGGATATTACAACTGAAGATCATTGTTTTATTTTGTAATTCTGATATTTCTCTCTTCACACAGAGTAAGATAATATTTATTTCTAAAGGGTCCTCCCGTGCTTTTTCTAATGCATGTTATCACTGGTATTCTTTTCTTTTATCTTTGTGTAACCCATGTGCTCTATCACATTTGCCATTTTGTTTGGGTGACATTCCCATCAATCAACTGATTGCCTGTGCACTCGTACAACAGGGACTATGAAAATTTACCAAAAATTTCATTACACTTCATAGCAGTCACTGAGAAAAAGCTTTGACGTTACAGGAAATTTTAGCTATGAAGAATCCCAAGCTTAATCCAGACAAAATACACGTTTTGTCTAGTGGTATTTCACAGGGCTCGGTGCTTTTTAATTTAGTATTTATAGAATGACAGTACATAGAATAAATGTCAGCAAAATATATAGGTAACACTTGCCAGCTACCTATTGTAACAGGCATTCCTAAGGCACCAGCCTGGTTTTGCTTCAGTGAACCCACGAACAGATAAACTCAATGCATTCCAAAAGTAAATCTTCCTCTTGAGCTAGACCTGCAAAGCTTTCCAGACACACAGTTTTAAGTACCATAAAGATTCAAATACCTCTCTCTTGTTCTAGGCACCATGAGAAAAAGAGATGTGGAAAACATTAATACTTACACATGCAGAGGAGGAATGGGAGATGGTTCATAATGGTAACGTCCCTCATGATGTCTTGCATCAATTGGCACAGGAGGGTGGAATGCTGGGAAAAGGTGAGGCGGATCTGAAAAAATAAATAAACAAGGGTCTAAATCTGAATATATTTATCATCTATTTTTGTATATTGATTATGCATCTAAAATTACATATGACATGTAGCATGCCTTTGGGTCTAATTCTCCTCTCCCAATGCAAGCCTGCCATAAGTGAGAGGAGAGTTTGGCCCATACAATTTGCATTGATTGACATGAATATTTATTTATTTATTTGAATATTCTCTTTATATATCTTAAACGGCAAATTACGTAAAGAAGTCTTCAATAAATAATTACAGTGCACATATGTGAAGTGTCAGATCAAAAGGATCATGAAGACTTTCATAAGCATTCCTGATTCTTTTTTATTAAAATAAGTGAAACTGTCAGAGAAAGAAAAGCCTAAATATAGAATACAAATAGCATACAGTAAAACAAAATAATTCAGTGGAATGCACTACTAAAACGGCAAGCACGCTAAGTAGTATCTGGAGTAAATTACACAATGACGTTAGAAGGAAAATGTGGTCAGTAGAGCCTGTGCTGGGAGAGACACTGAGCTACACTGCACCCACAGGGAGCATCAGGAGGTATGTGCCTCAGGGCAAGGGGATTAATTTGATGCAGCCCTTGAAAAGGATCAGGCGTCCTTCTCCCATGTGGCTGGACACCTCTGCCGACTGACATGTAGGGGGAAAAAGCCATTGCTCTGATTACTCCTCCTCCCTGTTTCCAGCTAGTTATTCCTGGGCAGGCCTAGTTTGCAGCTGCCACTGCACTTCCTATTACTTCCAGACAGCCTTGGTATGAGGTATGCAGGAGCAGAAGGTTACCTGGAGTCTCTTCCACAACCCCCTGCTACGTAGCTTGCATAAGGTCCAGCACAGTCTGGCCCTGTATTTTCCAAATAACTGTCTAGTAAAATCTCTCCCTGATTGTGGATGAGAAGGCAAAAGCTTACTATAGCTCTCAAACAACATTTTCACACCTTTGCAACCTTTTATGTAAAAACATCCTTTTCTAAGCTATTTCATGCACCATTACATTCCTGAATGGAGGAGACAATGTTCATGCAGTTCTGCAAATCTGAAAAGCAAAATGTTTCCTATGGTATGCAGGTCCCTACCAACTATTCACTATGTTCTACTTTATACTAAATCCACATGTTTATGTGATCCTAAAAGCTAATGAGAACAGATGTTATGTAGTGTCATGCTTTCACTAAAATGATTCTAAAAAAAGAAAATCCTTAATTATGCTCTATCTGTAAAACCAAGCCAGATGCCTGTTTCAGTCTTGCTTGCTGACTCTTAAGTTATCTTCTATTTGTATTTTCTTCTTTTAAATTCTGTTATTTCTTTCTTAGACTATGTTAACAATGAAGACAATTGCCTCACACCAACAAGAGATGGTCAGAAAGGGAGAATGCTTTTTATCAAAGTTTTGACCTGAAAAACTGGACGTGGCAAAAAACCAAGTGCAGAGTGAACATATCAGGGGTAGAGGAGGATTCACACAAATTCTGTACAAATATCTATACTTCTTTTAGAAAATTTTGAAACATTTGAAATAATCTGCTCAATGCTACAATCTTAGATACAGTAAGATCTACAATTGCACATTTCTCCCATTTACTGTCTCAGGACTTGGTCCTATAAATGAAAAATGATTGTGATTTACTAACATAAGCAGGGAAACCTTATTCATGATAGCACTAATTCTAGCCATGTGCCACTAACTGGACATTAATCAGAGGCCCACTGGCTTCCAGGGGAATCAGGGTAAATCACAGGACCCTGTTATATGAGTGCTGGACTAATAGTTGTTGGTGGACGAGAAGTTACTTGCTTCTAGTGCATAAAATGCATTTTGCATCAGTCACCAGCCCCAGAAACCAGAGAATAATATAACTTCAGAGGGAAATGCTTTGGGGTGAAAAAATGGCAGAGAGAGATATCTATATGGTTTGATGCCTTGTTTGTGCACCCCATGCACCACCATGTGCCTATTTGTGCAATATTCTGAGCTGAATTTAGGCCATACTCTTACTTTGAGTAGAAGTTTGGGGGTTTAAAATAAAAAAAGACTGCTAACCTTTATAATAAAAGCACATGTTCATTACTTTCCTCTATGAGACACACATACATACAGATTCTTCAATAAAACCTCCCCTTCCTCTGCATCTCTCATAGTAACTCTGAAGAACACTGGAGATAGAGGAGGTGTGAGCACCAAGGGCCAGATTTTGCAACCTTTACTTGAATCTGACAGAACCCTACTCTTTCTAAACCAGGGGTGGGCAATTATTTTGGCTGGTGGGCCACTTAACAAGTTTTGGTGAGTTCTCCAGAGCTGCAAAGGTAGCCCCGTCCCTTGACAGGTGCCCTGCCCTCTGGTCACCATTTTGGAACCAGAAGTCCTGCCCCCTAACCCCTGACCTTTGCCACCAGAAATCCCTCCCATTGTCCCCAGAAGTACTCCTTTTGGAAAGGGGGTTTCCCATCTTGCAACTGGAAAAAAAAACAAATTGTATACTAAAAATCAAACATTGACAATAACATATTTAAATTTTATTTTTAAAAATATTTTTGTCCTGATTTGTGTGTATTTGTGTGGTGTATATAGAGGTGATTGCATAATAGCTCAAAATGAGGTCTTACTCTTGTATATTGTAGGGGAGTGTGGAGGGGTGGGGGGGTATGGAGGGGTGGATATGAAGTTTGTGGGTGTCCATGTGTGTATGTGGGGTGAAGAGGAGGATGTGGGGGTATGTGTGGATGTGGGTGGGTGGATATGGGGGGTTTGTGGGGTGTGTTGAGGGGGAGGGTGGCTGGGGTGTGTGTGTGAAGGGGTGGGTGTGCAGTGTGCATGGAGGGGGTGTGGGCGCATGTGTAGGGTGGGCTGTGTGCACACAGCAGTGAGCGGGGCTCCCCCCAGAGGCACACGGGTGTGTGTGGGGGGGAGGATTGTGTGTGGGGGAGTGTGGTTGTGGGGTTTGCAGGGGAGGGCTTGAGGGTATGGTGGGGTGTGCATGGGAGTCCCCAAACGTGCCTCCCAGAGCAGGTCAGCACCCGCCTCTGCCCCACAACAGCCTGGAGCCCGTGTGCCCTACAGCGCCTCCCTGCCACTGCCAGCAGCGTGCAGCCCCAGTGCGCCCCATGCCTACTCTGGACTCACCCCCACCAGAGCGGATCAGTCAGAACCTGAGCACAGCCCTGACTTGGCCCACCCAGCACCACCTGCCCATAGCATGTCCTGTTGCCCCTTGGGCACGCAGCACTGGGGCCACCACTGGTGGCAGCCAAAAGGAGCCGCCTGCCACTTGGGCTGCCTAGAAAGGCAGTCCAGTTGTGGACCCACCCCAGTCTCGCTATGTACGCAGAGGGCAGCAGGATACACCACAGCTGGACTGTGCCTGTGCCAGGCAGGACCAAGGGACCCATTGCAGCCCAGACAAAGACTCGCCGTGGACCAGATCCAGTCCACAGGCCATATTTTGCCCATCCCTGATCTAAACTATATGGTACAGTATAGATGGCATAGACTATACAGTGAACAAATATGTGTATGATGCAGAGTTTACTTTTCATCCTTGCTGATCTGAGTTAAGCATCTACTTTAGAGTGCAGTACTCTTTATTTACCCACTGAAATACAGTTTAATCTTGCACAGCATTAGCCATAAAGTAAAATGTGATCTGTAATTTCCTCTCTCAGGACTAAAAGAATGTCCTTTAAACTACCTAAAACTCTAGTCAGTCTAAGTATACAGATGAAAGATAAAGTACCCAATAATTAGTATTTGATGCATCTGTTTGTACGTAGACATACACTGCAATATATTCTGTTCATCTTCACTGAAATGCAATTGGATAAATCTAAAAAAAAATCCTTTTTGGGTCTACTAACATTAAGTTTCTCTGCACATCTTGGCTGCATCTTTTTTGTAGTTACCATCTGGGAAACAGACGTATTCCATCATTGCACAGGGAGCTGTCTAAGTCAACCCCACATGACTAGAACCAAGCTGCATACCTAGCATCCAGCATTATTAACCATCTCACAGTTTATTATTTACACATGAGCAATACAGTCGATGAACATCATAACTCAAGTCTATGTGTAATAACTTACTGCACTGTAGCCTTCTCCTGTTGCAACCCTTGAAAAAACACCACATGATGACTTTTCCAAAGTCAGGCTAAAACTGCTGAAGCAGAATAAAGTGCCACTAAACCTGGCTACCTCCTATTTATCATACAATTTCCTGACTGATGGTTCCACAAACCAGCTGCTAAGTGCTGTGTACTCTACTGTCAGCAAACTAACATGCTAAATGGGAGACAGGGAGAATAATGTGCAGAACTAGTGGAATCAATTTTACTGAGGGAATTCAAATTCTGCCATGTGTGGATAAGTTCCCACACAGAGGTAAGCAGTAAATTCTACATGCTTAGGGGTCTAAAAAGCTCTCCACTTTGAAGAGCGTTGAATATTGATATGAAAAATACTCTTATATCAAATGGATATCTGAAAAAGCCCCTAATACCTATGACTCCACTTAGAATGCACTTGGAACCCTATAAATATGTAATTTGTTAGCATGTATTTAATTAGAAATTAATTTTAAAATATGTGTGTGGCTGTAACTAAGACTATAATCAGTTTCCTGTTGGTCATTCTTTTCCCAAACAGTAATTGAGAGGAGAGGCCTGTCATCTCATTAGCCTAGAATCTGGCCCACTGTCTCATTAGAGATACTATAAAAATATTACAGGCCTTATTGTGCCATTTGTCTTTACATTGTGTTGCTTAGAGGGTGAATAAGAATAAAGAGAATACCTGCAGAGGGAAGGAGAAATATGGTTTTTACTGTTTATTAGCTGTTGTCAGAGAGGTCTTCACCATCTATACAACTTGTGACCTCAAAGCCAAGAGTCCTTCTACCCTTAGCATTCAACAAAGTGTGCACATTTCTACAGCCAAAGGTATGCAAGCCTGGATGACCAAGCATCCAGGTACAGCTAGTT